AGTTAAGCTCCATCTGGGCCCCAACTGGTGCCCCCTTGGGGCGTGACCGGGCATCCTGGCGCGCTGCCGACGGAGCCCCTCACAGCGGCCAATTTTTACCCAACCGGGTACCAACTCAAACCCCTGCGGACCCCCTACTGGATACCCAACTGGGCCCTTACTAGGTACCCTACCGGGCCCCAACCGGGCCCCACCCGGATATCAACCGGACCCCAACCGGGGCCCAACTGGGTCCCAACCGGGTCTCCCCGGGTCTCAACTGGGTCTGTACCGGCCCTCAACTGGGTGCCCAACCGGCCACCCTCCGGGGCCCTACTGTACAGATCTGTTATCATGGGCTTCCCCCAACACGTGCTCCAAGTGCACAGCAACAATATAATCGATTGATCGAAGTGACAGCTGATGCGGGCCGCGAGAGGGCCCGCTGCTGTGGTGCGTCCAGCTCCATTCTCTCTCTCTCTCTCTCTCTCTCTCTCTCGTTATCATCCTTCAAAACCACACCCAGTCAGTCGCTGGCACGCACGCTGCGAGCAGATAAACGCAGCGGGGTGCAGAGGAGGGATTGTCAGCTTACCTGGACCTCTCTAGTTGAGCTCTCGATGTCTCTGTCTCTCTCTTTCCTTCGAGTGCAGCGAGCCGGACTAGACGCAACGCACGTGTTGTCCGCTATCTGAAAATTGACAAGAAGAAAATGTGAGACCTTCACGATCAGCTAGGGAAGTAGAAGTTGTACTCAGCCACTGTGTTGTTTTTTACCTGTATTAAAGTTACAGTCAAAACAATTTTAAATGGGTGCGGAAAGTCAGTGAAGCCCCTATGAACACAGTATTAATCCAGAACGTGGCTATCATACACATAAACTGGGCGTCCCGTTTGTTGTGCCAAAAACTAAGAAAAAAATGGCCAGAGTAAAAAAGCTCAAGGTTTCCCAAACCCCCATGAAATTTTAAAACGCGCGCCCGTTTCAGTGGAGTGCCCACGTGAGCGGATCCCAGCCGTCAGCGCGAAGAAGACTCCATTTTGAGTCCAAAATTATTCATCAGCGACCCCAATCGCTCGTTTTATGGCAACGGCTGCCGGGGCTCTGCTCTATCGGGGGTCGAATCAGTTTGACTACCGCCGAGAGAGAGAAGGGAGAGAGAGGGACCAAATAGCCACTCGTCTCTCTCCTCCCCTCTCAACGAAAAAAAAGAGGGCGAACAGGGGGGGGAAGGGGGGATTCCAGAGAAAAAGAGGGGGGAAGGGGGCAATTCGCCGGAGTAGGCCTGTGCCATCCCAACTGCCCCCAGCCCGTCAGCTACTGGCCAAATTGGAAGTAATTGGCAAGGCAAATCAATTGCAAGGTTCGTGTGGATCAGCCGGCGGCGCCCCAGGACAACGGCGTCTCCCAGCCCAGCACACTGCGTGAACGGTCGGCTTCTAAGCTGATTAAACGCGACGTGTAGTAAAGACACGTATATTTTTCCCATTTACCACACAAGCAAGCACTGTGAAAATATACTCGTAAACTTACGACACTTGTTAACATTTTTATTTACGGCGCAACATATTTTGAAAATTTGCGACAGCCTATTCTTGCTTGTGGTTCAATCACAAAGTCGATACAAAGTGCTCGTAAATTTTCAATTTCAAATTTTTATTCTTCGACAAATGTTATAGAGCATTTTCCCGTACGACTAGCACTGTGAAAAATATCATCGTGAATTTCCAAAAATTTTGTAAACTCGAATTATAATTTAAGTTGTAAAGTTATATACGAGAGCAGATTTTTTACTCGCCAATGGATTTTAAGTCGATCGTACTGCATGTATTTTTACGATTTTAAAGGCATACCTACTATTTTTTACAGTGAGTGAAAAGGATGATAGAAGACCACGACAATCCCCACCCTGGACTCTCGACCCCTACCTCTATTCACAAAACATAAAAAACGACTGGAAAAGACTAAAAGGGCCGAACAGAAAAGCAGGCATCCTATTCGCATCTGGAGGAGGCACATAAAAAACTTGACTTAATACATGAATGTAACTCAACTACTATATTTTTTAATGAACGTCCATACTGCTTTCAGGACGCGTGCGCAAGTGAGTCTCCATGAGTGGCAAGTGCGCGTGGAAGGCGAGGTTCTCTGTTACACGCGGCCACCGCATTAGGACAGGCCAACCCTCATTCCCGTCTCTATGGTCTATGGTTTAACTTTATTAGCATTTCAAACGTGCGACTGTGTGTGTGTGTGTGTGTGAGTCGTTTAATAAGGGGGAGAAAGGGGTATCCATTCAGCACTGTAAAAACGGAACCACGAGGTGGCGCGGAGGGTTGGGGACAAAAGCGAGGGGTCGGGGTGTGAGCGATGGACCTCCACATCCTGGGGATGCTGGGGCCCGGCAGGGCCGGGGGTGCACCACGGAGGGGTGCTTAGCGCTCCCTCTCGCTCTGACACACGTACACTCACGTCCCCCGGGTCGCTTCGCTCCCTCGCTGCCTCTTCCCCTCTCTCTCTCTTTCACCCCCAGTGCTCCCGTTCTGATTGGGTTGGTGTCGGGACAGTTATCCGTGGGGTAGGTCACCCTTGAGGAGCCCCTGGGGGCCTCTGGCTGGGCCAGATCAGAAAGGGCAGCAGAGAGAGAGAGAGAGAGAGAGAGAGAGAGAGAGAGAGAGAGAGA